TAAAATAAGGAGATTAAGAAAGAAATAAAGTAAATATAAAATGAATAGAATATATAAAATAAAAAAACAATAACACTAATATATGCATAGCAAACAACTAAATAAAAATAAAATGATAATGCAAATAAATAAATAAAACAAGTAAAAGAATATAAAAACATAAAATATAGGATAATATAAAATAGATAAATAAATGAGTAAAATATATAAAAAGTAAAAGCATATATATAAATAAATAATAATAATAAAAAAAAAAATCAAAAGTAATATACGTATATATACATGCAAAATAGGAAATATATATATATATAATAACACTAATAAAAAAACATATATACATATATAATAAAATTAATAGAAAGTAATATGCATATATAACAAGAATAATAAAGTAGGAAAAAAATGATTTAGGGGGGAGAATTAAATATTTTAAAAAAATGAACACGCCTCGAGGGTGGATCTAGGTTCGAAACTTCGAAATCCCACCCCTTTTTAGTCATCGGCGCAACCCACGTTTTGGGTTATTCGAACCAAATCTCAAGAAAAATAACGTGCACATGCGAGAAATGAACGAACCAATGTAAAAAAAGATGCTACCTTTTATTTCCTTTTTGAATCGTTTACAACAACTTTGCCTTTGTATTTTCCGTGCTTTCCTCTGTGTTTTACGTGTAAATCGTGTCTTACAATGATGAGTTACAATGGCTATTTATAGTGCTTGTGGATCATATCTTTAGGAATTTATATAATAGTATAACTCTATCCTATTTTTAGGAGTTTAAATCCTAGCAAAATTTTATCCTATTTTTAAGAGTTTGAATCCTAAAATTCTATCCTATTTTTAGGAGTTTGAATCCTAGTAGGACGAAAAATGTATGTTGACATATAGTATTAATATTTTAAAGTCGTTTGTTCAAAGCACGAAAGTTTAATATAATTGTGTCAAATCATTTCATTGCATTTTATTATTAATAATCTTAATATAATACAATAAACTTATATTTATTCAAAAGCGTTGTCAGGTGAGTAGGAGCTTTAGCCGGCTAGTTTTACGGTGCGGCCCATTAGAATAGACTAAAATAAGACGATATCAATTTTGTTATTATTTTAAAAAATAAAATCAGTAAAAATAATCGAAAACATCATTTTTTTTACCCGTTCTAATTACCTATATAAGTAAATACGTTAAAAAAATTCGGTCAAAAAAATAATATTTTCGGTAAAACACTACCTAAAACATCATTTTTGACCGAATTTTTTTACCTATAGATAATTAGAACCGGTTAAAAAAATGATTTTTTCGGTCATTTTTTACCAGTTTTGTTATTTAAAATTAAAACAAAACCGATACCGCCTTATTTTAGCCGTATACTAAGACGCCGCGCGTGAGTATTTCCCGCTTTAGCCACTCAAAAAATTGTGCTATTAATTCATAGAAATAATACAAATTCATTTTTGAACATTTTAACTTTTTATTAAAGGAAAAATTATATTTTAAACCCCTCCAAAACATTGATAATCAATTTACTCACTCTTAGGTACTTAAAATTTATAATTTTATATCGAACCCTAGCACAAACTCCTAATTTAAACCCTATATATATTATAGTTTATTACATGTAGGTATTTAATACATGTATTGTATAAAATATATATAACATATGCGCATATCTAGAATTTTAATGTAAGAAAACCAAAAGTTACAGGGTGGAACAAGAGGTTTTAACATAAAATATGGTAAATCATAGGAAAGACTTTATAAGTAATGATTAACGATGCTTAAAGCCGATTCCGGTCGGCACCGACCACTGGTTTTCCTCCATGCAACATGAAAAGCACACATAGGGAAAGATCAGATGATATGCTCGAGTAAGTTGCAGTAACTGAGCATTTGAATTCTAATCTGTAGTTGTTTTGTAGGAAACTGATAACAATGATTGCCATATTAAGATGTACCTGCCACTCCCGCTTTCTTATGAAGTGCAATGACATTGAAGTTGAGGGACTCCGGATTTTTCTGGATCATGCCCTTTATGACTTTCGCCGCATCCTGTTGTCGTACGAGTAAATAATGGCGATTAGTCGTTGTCGTCGTATATTAGCACATGATGAGAATGCTTATTGCCGAAAATTAAGCAAATCATGTATATGAATGGTGAAACCAGATGAATACAGTAACACTCGTCTAATGCAAAACGATCTGATTATTAGCAAGCACAAAAACGAAACAGACAGGAGTCAGATGGATTGTGAAAGCTGAAGTTGATGGTTCAAACTAAAACTCATTCTACCAGTTGAAACTCCTCAGACCCCAAGTTGAAAGAGAGAGAGATGAGCAAGGCAGCTCACTTCTTCAACTTTCACCTTGGTCAAGGCATGATACTCGAATACTAAAATGAACTGTTAAAAAATTTCATGTCTTAAAAGCTCAAACATTTCTTGTAAAACGTTTTTCTGACTTCCGAATGCATCATTCAAAGGAAGAACACATAAAATAAAGTTTTTAACTGGCCAGAACAAGCCTGCAATATGCTACTCGGTGAGGAAGCCCCGTGCGAAATTGGTCCCGACTTTCTCCCATCAAGCTCATAAAGTTCCCCTACATTAATAATACCAAAAGCATCTCTAAAGACCAAAGAGAGAGAGATTGTGTTTTCCTTTCATTTTTATTTCGTTATATTCTGAAAAAAACAACAGAGAACAAGAGCAGGTACCATCAACACAGGTGAAGCAGATAAAATGTGTGTTGACATTGTCTGATGCCTGACAAGGAAAATTGTTAAGACAAAACAAGAGAAACGGGATCAGGACAAATAAAAATTATTAGCCCTCAGTAGCAAATATTGCAAAGATTCATCAATGAAGTAGCTCAGCTTTGTTCTAAAATATAGCAGAATAAAAACTTGAAGTGATTTATAGATTTGTATCCTACCCTAACTTCACGTTTTTCCGGTTTCAAGTTAATAGAATCATGTAGAAAAGAGTTACTTAAAAATGGATTTACCTCTGTTTCGCCAGCTGTAGCTGCTATCGTGTGAGCAACTTCCATTTCATCGTCTTTCTCAAGAAACGCTGCACGCTTTAACGCATACAACAATTTGAAGTCAGCAATGACAAATCACAAAAGGCAAAAATGCTCACACACATGTGCATGCAGACACAAAGAGAGAAAGAGTCAGAGAGGCAAGAAGATAAACCTCCAATGGATCCATGCTTGCAGTAGATTTAAAAAATCTATCTAAATATGATCCCTCTTCTGGAAAAAGACGGAAAAAATTATTACTGGATGTTTTTCAGAAAATAGACTAATAGCTACCTAATACCAACATCACCATGATATTCAATTCCTAATTAAAATGGAGAAAAGGGAAACTTAAGAAAACGCCTACTCATGGATACATCATATGTCTGACAACAAGAAAGCTGAAATGTGATGATTAAATTGACAGACATGCGTAATTCGTAAATGCTAACATACATTGAAACATATGATACGTCCAAGAAGAATGTCAAGATAAGCATTCTTGGTCGAGAAATGATGAATATTTAGACCAAACTTACGAAGCATGATTTCAGAAGTGACATTTCCAACACTGTGAAGAATCCCAATGGTTCCACATGCATTTCCCACAGTTTTTTCATGAAATAAACTTTACTGCTAACATCCTGCAGTCAAAACAAAAAAAGAGAACTTCAAATTGGATCATTCAAAGAATTTCCATTTATAGTTACAAATCAGAAACTACTGCATTTATTCACTTAGTCTTGAGAAAGCTTCAAAGGGGGAACTGAAAATTATCCACATATTTAAGTGCTATCTTAATGGTGCTTTTCCTTTCCTCTTTTCAACTATTCCTTGTTCTTAGTTATTTAATGAACATCATCATAAAATAGATTGCTTACTCCCATCAATGAAATATATTCAAAAATCAGAATACTATCCGCACAAATATACAAATATTTGGTTGACAAGGTGGACATCTATAGAACAAGACAGGTCATAATCATCTACAAACACAAGGCATAACTACACAAGCTTGCACAATCTCAGTTACAGCAGTGTTACGGTTTAAACATTTCTGATTACCTATTGAACATGAGTTCAAAACAGATCATAATCATCTACAAACACAAGGCATAACTACACAAGTTTGCACAATTTCAGTCACAGCAGTGTTATGGTTTAAAAATTTCTGATTAATCCGACAACCGTCTCTGGTGCAAAACACAAAGAGCTAGAATACATAATTGCACTTACTCTTTTCCCCTTGTCTTGCTGCAATCTCTCTTCTTCAGTCTGAAAACATTCAAAGCATAGAAACAGACAAACTTATTCTGATTTAGGTGTATCAATGAAGTTAATTTTCAAGATATTGGAAACTAAAGTTTAAAATTGAACACACCTGAGAAGTTATTGGGAAAAGAAAAAGAACAGCAAGAACAGGCTGGGGAACCATTGCTAAGAGTTCATCATCCAATCCGTAAACATCGCAACACTCCGCTTCATCCACTGGAAGACCCAGACCCCAAAGAAACTGCAGAATACCCAAAAAAAAATTATTCAGCAAACACTCATAGCAATCAATTTGTCATTGTCTTTTCCCGATGTTTTCCACGCAACCAAACACAGAGAAATTTGGGGGAGAGAAAAAGGAAAAATGAAAAGCACCTGGTTCATGACAACGGGGTTAGCTTCTAGAGGAAGCCACCTCTTCCTAGAACTTCCAGCTGGAGTCGCCATTTTGCTTTGTTTTCCTTCTCTCTTGATAAAAATGGGATTTTTATACTTTTGATAAATAGGGTTTCAGGTTGGAGATTGAGAGAAAACTGAACAACGAGTCGATTGGAAATTTAAATGTGTTTTCACTATTAAATCTGGTGAAACAGACAACAAAAACATAAACTTTGTTTCATGGGCTCTTGTTGGGCCCACCGTTATTCAAATCTAGAGAACTTAGAAAAAGAAACAAGAACAAAAAGTACATTCTTTTATGGTTTTTTTAACAAATTATGACTCCAAAAAGTTTGACCCCATTACTTCCATTCACTCCTTCAGTACCATCAGCAGCATCTGAACCAAATCCTTGTGCTCCACCATTGCCAACAATGTAGTTTCCTGGAGAATTTCGAAGTATATCTATCATATAGAACATCCCCCTTTGTCCTGCATAATCCACATGATAACATCCATAGAAGACGACAGTGTCTCCAGAATTCAAGTTATTCTTAGTGACAAACTGTCTCCATCCTGTTGTGAAACAAAAGGCCTGGATTCGACCCGAATACGAGTATCGGAGAGTCCAGGATGCGTAGTATTTGTCATAGAAAGTTATATCAATAGAGTCACTTCCCATTTGAGCTCCATTCCCTGAACTGCTTCCGAGGGGGGGCAAGTATCGCAGGGCGTATTCCTTTAGGATTGGGAACCCTCTGGGGTTAGCCACATCTGTTTGTCTCAGCTCCTGGTGAAATAACAGTTCATATGAGAGCCCCCTAGCGTTGAGTAAGCTGCCTGGTATGGTTCTCCTTGCCAGAGATTGATGTGCAAGGAAACTGGTGAAACTTGATGAGTACGTTTTGTACTTGATCATATTCAGAATCTCTTCCTCCGAGTACCAACTCTGGAATGATTTCTCCTGAGGTGTGTTGATTTTGTGGGGTAAGTTGAGGGTGGTGTTGGCTTTCTGCAACTTGAGGGCTGCTCGATCATAAGCAATGGCAGCTTCCTCCTCTATTTCATATGTTCCGAGCCAGTATGCCCTGTAATCAAAGGAAATCCTTGAGCCCCATTTATGATTTGCAAGTGGAAGTACCCCTCTGAATCTTGAGGTTGACTTCCTGATGCCAGTGCTTGTGCTGCTGCCTCTAATATTCTGATATGGGGTCATTTTGTTGTTCGAGATTAAACGTCCTACCATCACTTTGATTGAGAGATATGCGTCGATGGCAGTGAAAAAATAATGGGGATTGCGTCGTTTATAACGAGAAATCATTACAACTCACAAAGGGATAGTTATGGTAACCATGAACTGGAAAATTCACCAAAGGAGACCCAGTTATGGTAACTATAACTGACTTACCTAACATGAACTTGCAGATATTAACAAGAATGGAAAGTACAAATATTGTTGAGACCACACTCTATTTCTGGACTCGGGCATTGTAATTGGTAGCACAGAAGAGTTATTGCAGGGTTGTCACTGAGCTGTCCTTGGCCTTTTTTCTCAGTATTGACAAGCTAATTAATGAACTGCCATTTTCCATCTGAATCAGTTCATTAATGTATATACTTATCAAATTTCTCAACCAGATAATGAAGGACAAAGTTACTATTTAAAAATTCTCACCTTTTAATTCTTAAAGCCATAGTTGGTAGTGGTACTATAAACATGACAATTTTGTATATCACGTTTATGATGAAAGGTAAAAATACCATACTTAGCATAATGGGACTTATCAGTAGAACTGGAATTCTAAACCTGCTAGATATCGGCTCTTAACTGGAATTCTAAGCTGGCTATATATCGGCTCTTAACTAATTCCAAGCCTGCTAGTTGTCGACTCTCAAGAATGACTACACAAATCTATTTTTAAATGAATACATGTAGGATTTTGGAACATGGGGATGTAGATGTTTGAAACAACTACCATAAAGAACAATGCTCCTAATAAAATTCAAACCAACATAGAAATGACATTGGAAAACAAGGTTGATGTAATTTATTATTTCTTCGTTTTACTAGCTAAAGATAGTTCATCCAACATATGGACTTCTCAAGGATCCAAATATAAAACAAAGATAACTTTTATCAGTAAATAAGTTTATCAAGAAGTTGTTTTCTAGCAAAAGTCAGGTTCTTTCTTATTCACCAGTATATCTTGGCTTACGCTTCTCAGCAAATGCAGCTAAGCCTTCCAAGCGATCCTTCGTATCCAAAAGCTGTTCGTAGCACTCTTCTTCTAAATCCAATGCTGAAATCATATCCCTCTCAATCCCCTCATTTATAGCCCTCTTTGCCATTCTTATTGCTATTGGACCCTGTTAAGAATATTTTCATAAGAATATTCAATAATTTGTATAAAGTAATAAAGTTATTTTTACCAATAAAATGCAGGGTCAGCATCAGACCTGAAACCTTTGCATTTCAGAATAAGCATTCATGGATGTTAAATGAATGAACTTAGAAAAAGAAAATAGCTCATGAACTGCCAAGCAAGTTTTGAAGATGCATAATTATTACCTTCTGATTTATTTCCTGAGCAATTCCTAAAGCTTTTGGACGGGCTTCACCGACAGGAACACAGTAATTGGCAAGACCTGCGATATCAGACGTTGTTCAATACCAGAGTGGGATAGGTAGAGAACATAGTAGGGGAAAAAGCAGCTTGTAGGTATATTTACCGATGGACATTGCATCCCTGCCACCAATTCTTCGACCTGTAAAAATAAGCTCCTTTGCAATTGATTTTCCAACCAATCTAGGAAGCCTTTGAGTCCCACCTGCACTGTTAATTATAGGGTCAATGTGATACCAGCTTCAGATTTTACTCAAAAGAACTAAACAAAATAGAGATGGTGCAAAATACTGAAACAAGATTTAGTACATACCCAGGTATTATAGCCAGTCCTGTTTCTGGCAAGCCCAATAATGCATTTTCTCCTAAAAAAATGAGGACAATCCATTTAAAACAATATTAAGTAAAAAAGAAGATCATGTAACCAAACACTTTAGAAGCAAATAAAGGTACTTATGAAATGATTTAAAACATAAGTCTACCGCAAATCCTAAGATCACATGAGAGAGCCATTTCAAGTCCTCCACCCAACGCTGCACCTTCAATAACTGCAATAGTAGGAATTTGTAGTTCCTGAACTAAATAAACAGTAGTCTATGTAATCACTTGACATAAAGTAAGACCATCCGAAAGCATGCAGAAACGATTATAACAACATTAGTAAAGGAATCACCCAGTTAACTGTAAATTGTTAGATCTTAATGAGACTAATTGGCACAGCAGATGGGAATATCACTGGTTGTTCAGAAAACTTCCTTAAAGAGCTGCTGTAATGTACTTTGCCACTTGAGGCACAAGAGGGTATGACGAGAATGGTCTCTAGGGAGGAAATTCAGGATTCTTTGTTAGAGCAGGAGAATGAAAAGGCTCCTGGGACAGATGGTTTCATTGCTTTTTTTTAGGGTGCCTGGAATGTAGTTGGGGCTGATTTTGAAGATGCTGTGTAATTTTTTCTTCCGGTCCACAGAGACCCTTCCAGCACTTAATTCCGCTATAATAGTGTTAGTGCCTAAATGCATAATCTTAGCCAGGTTAAAGGCTTTTTTCACGTTTCAAGTTGTTCTATTGTCTACAAATGTATTACTAAAGTAATAGTGAGGAGGATTACTAAGTGACTTTCTGCAATCATCCTCCCACCCCAAAGCGTGTTCATTCAAGGTAGGAGTATTCATGGCAACACTCTTCTTAGTCATGACCTGGTGAAAGGCTACAATAGAAAGAGAATTTCTTCTCGATGTGCTATTAAGATAGATCTCCATAAAGCCTTTGATTCCCTTAGCTGGAACTTTGTGCTTACTTTTTTTGGTAGCATTGGGATTTCCTAAGAAAATGATAGAGTAAATAGGAAAAGTATGAATACAAATGTTAGAGTAAGTAGGAAAATTTGTACAGATTGGGTTTTGAGTTGTAAATAGCTACAGAGATATGTTGCAAGTAATGTTCTGTTTAATGTAGCAGGGATTCCTGCTTTCTGGATAATAAAAGCTCAATTATCCAAAATAATGTTGACTCTTAATGAAACAATGTTAAAAGATTGAAACCTGGACCCTGCATTAGGAAGAACAATATTGAAAAAGTGAAAAAATTGTTTTAAGAGCAAGTCAAGGACACTTGACATATACTTGCAGGCATTTTTCAATGCTTGAAAATGTACATATATCTATAGTCAGTATAATCGTTTCAAAACTACAATGATCGTATAAATGTTAGAGAATAAGGAATAACCTCTATTAATGAGAAAGTGGACCGCAGGTAGCTGACATAAGAATGAACCTCAGACGCACTCATCTTCTTTCGTTCCTACCAATCAAAGTCCGGGTAAACAACAAGATTAACATCTAACCGGAAACATATGAAACTCAAAATATCTCGCTTAAGACAAGATTGATCATTAATTATAAAATTATCACATTTCTAATCAAGAAACTTTCCCCTCATTCCTCTAATAACGAAATTATCAGTTAAAATGAAGTCAATTTTTTTAAAATCTAACTATCAAAATCCAAAAGAACAAATAGGAGTGAAAGTAACAAATAAAAGAAAGCAAAATTCACCTTTAAATCAGCTCCAGCGCAGAACACCTTAGGAACTGAGCTAGAGATCATAACTACATGAGCCTCGGAATCTTGACCGATAACTTCGAAGGCATGGCGTAAGCCACTCAACATATCATTCCCAATTGCATTTTTCGCTTCAGCCCGATCCAAATTGACCTCAACAATACCTGTAAACAAAAAAAATGAGCTTTTAAACATAACTTAAACAAGACATGAGGGGGGAAATGAAAAAGAGAGGAAATTTTCTTAAAAGGAAAATGAATACCGGAATCACAGTCGGAGAGACGGTGGAGCTTGACGGATTGGGATAAAGAGGGTTCCAAAATCAGAGTTCTCAGTGTTTGGAAGCGAGAGTAATGAGAGGGGAAATTTTGCGAAACGACTGAAATTTTTGATCTTTTGACGCAGTTTTGGCCAAGCGATCTTGTTAGTGAGGTTAATACAGCCATTTTATTGCTCCTTTTCTGCTTTAATTCGTTATAAGCAGCAAAATTTGCAGCGTAGAACGGAGGAAGAGAGGGAGGAGCTTTCGCCAATTGGAGTCTCGGCAGTTATTTAGAGTCGCAGTAGTCAATTGAAGTGTCGTCGCGTCTCGTCCTCGTGGACTTGAAACGCAATGCTTCACTAATGAAACGCAACATGTTCAAATGTTTTATATTGTCGACAAACGGGTAAGATTAAGAACAAGTTATCCTAAGTAAGAATATTCATTATATTAGGTAAACTACACCGGTGCCCACTTAATTATTGTCTGATTTTATTTTGATCACTAATATTTTGATTTAATCAATCAGACCACCTAATTATTTAAACACTTCAATCAAGCCACTGGTCGTTAACTTTTAACGAAGGATGTGAGATGGCAGTTAATAAAAGTGGTATAATTACACATTTAGTTTTTAATACTTATACATTCTATTAGCGTGATCAAAGGGTTAAATTTATTGATTTAAATTAAAATTAGGAATAATTTGATAGAATATATAAGTATTGAGGACCAAATGTATAATTATACTAATTTTATTAACTGTTACGTCACCTCCTCTGTTAAAAGTTAACAACTAGTGGCTTGACTAAAACATTTAAGTAATTGAGTGGTTTGATTGATTAAATAGAAACATTAGTAATCAAAATGAAATCGAGAAATAATTAAGTGGTCACCATTTTGGATAGATGATCAAGCTACTCATCTTTATTTCTTTATATTCTCTTAATCATATGTTATAGATTCAAAAACATTCTTCTTCATTCTCCTTGAGTCTCCATTTACTTCTCCTCTAGATAAGATTGACATTAGATTTAGAATTTGTAAAACAAACAAACAAACAAACAAGTTATGTTGTTTAGATTGTGATTTTCTTGGGTAAAGTACACAAATAGTCCATCGATTATAGGATATTGTTTTGTTGAGTCTCCGACTATTAAAAGTTATAAAGTAGTTATTCGACTATAAAGTTACTTTTTTGAGTCCCTCGCCAATTAAAAATTATAGAATGGTCACCCAACTATTGATATGTTCTAAAATTATCCTTTTTTATTAAAAAAATTGACAGTAGTCTGAGTTGGACATTAACCTATTAACTGAGATATGATAAAATTTGATATCAAAATCTCACACGACTATACAACTCAAATAATTTTGGAATCAAATTTTATCAAATCTCAATCACCAAGTTAATGTCTAATTCAAATGACAGTCAATTTTTTTAACAAAAAAAGATGAGTTTGAAAAATATGAATAGTCAGTTAATCATTTTGTAATTTTTAATAGTCCAGAAACTCAATAAATCAACGTCTTATAATCATGAGATTGTTTTGTATTTTGGGAGTATTTGTTCTGATAGGAGGTCTTTCAACTGATTGTGTCGACGCTCAAAAATTTATCGGGCGAGTCCAGCCGCTCATTCGGTAAGAGGATCTCAATTCTTGAAACCGTTGCCCATGGCCAATTGTGTGTGACCATGTTGGACCTCGAATACTACGAGTTAATCGTCGAAATGTTTCAACATTTCCTTAATAAGGTAAAATGGCTTACTATGTATTAGGAAACTGGGCCAAGCTTAGAATTCAAGAACATTGAATATTTCTCATATATTTGCAGTAACCGAGTACACAGCTTTATATCAGCTTAACAACAGTTCTAGAAACTTTGTAACTACTCTAACTGATTACTAACAGCTCCTAACTGACTTCAGCTGCTTAGTTCTAATATTCCCTCTACTTTCTCCTTCTCCTTCAACACGGTAACACGCACATCTTGGCCCTGAACATTTTAAATACAGCTTTGGTTAATGGTTTAGTGAGATCGTCTGCCGCCTGAAAGTTTGCTGGAACATAACTAACACGCAATGCTTTGGCTACCACATTTTCTCTAATGAAGTGGAAATCCATGTCTACGTGCTTAGACTGTGCATGATAAATCGGGTTCGTGCTCATTGCAATGGAACTCGTGTTGTCACACCAGATCATTGGTTCTTCAGGCTACTTCACACCCAAGCTGGCTAGCAACGCACTGACCCAGGTCACTTCTGCAACTGTATCAGCTACGCTACAGTATTTCGCTTCCATGGTCGACCTCGAAACCGTATTTTATTTCTTCGAACTCCACAACATATGGCACTTTCCAAGAAACACAACATGACCCAAAACTGACCTTCAATCATTTGCATCGCTACCCCAGTCAACATCCGCAAGGCAATGACCTTCTGTCCAGCTTCACTAGCAAACAAACGTGAGGTCATACTCTAGGGTACCAACCAGGTACCTGAGTATACGTCTCACTGCTGCCATATGAACCTCACACGGAGCATGCATGTGTTGAGAAACTTTGTTTACACTAAACGCTATATCAGGATGGGTGTGACATACATACAACAGTGCACTAACCAAACTTCTATACTCACGAGCGTCAGTGAGTACTTGTCCTGCTTCATGAAATAGTCTCGACGATCCAACTATAGGAGTAGCCACAGAGTTAGCATTCAACATATCTTCCATCTCCAGTATCTCAAGAATGTACTTCTTTTGTGAGAGTATTAGTTTGCCGCAACTCCTTTTAACCTCAATTCCAAGGAAGAAGTTCAACTCAACTAAGTCCTTAAGGGATAAGTCTCGTTGCATGAGTTGGATCACCCTCTCTACATATTCCTTAGACTCACCAGTGATGATTATATCATCCACATAGACCAACACAAACGTATAGCAGTTGTTCACACACTTCACAAAGAGTGACACATCCGCTACTGACTCGGCAAATCCCATATACTGAAGACTAGCCTTGAGTTTATCATGCCAATTTCTGGGAGCCTGTCGAAGCCCATACAAGGCTTTATTTAACCTGCAAACGAGGGGCGACCCATCAGCATCAACCTCTTCAAAACCTGGGGGCTGGTGCATAAACACTTCTTCAGATAGTTCCCCATTTAGAAATGCGTTGTTTACATCGACTTGACGCAGAGGCCAATTCTTGGCGACAGCAAGGGAGAGCACTACATTTAGTGTGGCAAACTTTACGACTGAGCTGAAAGTGTCTTTAAAATCGTATCCAGACACCTGAGAATACCCCTTGGCAACCAACCTTGATGTATACCTTTGAACCGATCCGTATGGGTTCTTTTTTATCTTAAAGAGCCATTTGCAACCGACAATGTCACGCTCTTTTGGAAAAGGAACAAGAGACCATGTTTTGTTCTCATACAACACATCGAGTTCGACATGAATGATTGTTTTCCAGCTAGAAGATTGGAGTGCTGCACGAACAGTTGTTGGGACTGAATTGTCAAAAAAACTGGTATACACCTTTGGCTTGAAGACACCACACTTGCTGCGTGTGATCATTGGGTGCTTGTTTGCAGCATGTGCTTGCTGATCTTGAACATGCACTGACGTAGTATGCTCATCACCTGCATTCAGCTCTTGAATATGCACTGGTGCACTAACATTATTAGAGTCACCATGAGAAGGACTGTGGGGCTGAGCAGTTGGGTCAATACTGTTGTCACCCGAACTAGACCTTGTTGTCCTTGACACTTCTTCATGCTCGGCTGCTGAGTTAGCTTCAGCTGGGGACATTATGTCGCTATTGAACCTCTGTCTTACAAGCAATGGAGTAGAACTACCATGTCCACTGAATTTTCCTACATATGTTACCACTTCAAGAGACCGAGTTTGCTGACCATTATTGCAAACCAATGACCTAGAGCACATGGTATCTGCAAAAGGAAAATTTAATTTATTAAATATCACATGACGTGATACATATATTCGACTATCAAGTGTGAGGCACTGAAATCCTTTGTGGTTGGGGCTATAACCAAGTAAAACGCACGGTTAAGACTGAAACTCGAGCTTGTGTTTAAGGAATGACCGTAAGTGGGGGAAACATTGGCAGCCAAACACCTTTAATGCCCTATAGTCTGGTTTCTTGCCAAACACCTTTTCAAAAGGTGACATCCCTTGCAATACTTTTGTAGGCAGCCTGTTAATCAAATGTACTGCCGTGATAATTGTATAGGACCAAAATCGTATTGGCATGGACGCTTGAGCAAGAAGCGCAAGTCCAAGCTCAATAATACGTCGATGCTTGCGTTCGACTACACCATTTTGTACTGATGTGTGTGGACATGTTACTCTGTGCATGATGCCTTCTTTGAGCAAGCAGCTCGACAAGTGTCTGTATTCCCCTCTCAGTCGCTTTGAACCTCCTTGATAGGTAAGCCAAATTGATTCTTGACTAGTTGCTGGAACAGTCCAAATGTAGTGATGGCTTGTGCCTTGTCCTTTAACAAATACAACCAAGAGTGTCTAGTATAGGCATCAACAAAATTAACATAATATTTGAAGCCATTCGAAGTAACAGGTGCTGATCCCCATAGGTCTGTAAATACAAGTTGAAAGGGTGTATTATACATTGTTTTTGAATCATTAAAATGTAACTTATGACTCTTTCCCATGTGGCAATAAACACACACTTTATTCATTCAATTTGAAACGTTTACATTCAAGTCTTTACAAATCTTAACTAAACTATCATATGAGGGGTGTCCCAAACGCCTGTGCCAAAGCTCATAGGAATCATGGGATGCAGCCGTGTTACTTGATTCAATAGCAACAAGGGTTGTTACTTGAGGATTAACTACAAATGAATACAAGTCATCTTCTTCTTTCCTACGAAGCAGAACAGCACCAGACTCTTTATCACGAAACACAACACTCTCGTGCATGAAATTCAAAGAATGCATTATTATCCCTAGTAAGCTTTGAAACAGACAAGATATTCTTTGTTATATTGGGCACATGAAGCAGATCTGTTGAGTTAATCGATCGATGGAGTTGGCCAAGAGGGGGATGAATTGGCAAATAAAAATTTCGGTGGAAGCTTTACAGGAAATTGAAAAGATTTGCACAATGATTTAGAGTGGTTCGACTTTCTCAACCAAAGTCTACGTCCACTACCTTAGCTATCCACACTAAGGATTCTCCATAAATTCACTAATTTGTCTTTCTTTTGAGGACAAAGAGTAACCTTACAAATCCCTCAAGAATTATACCCCAAATTCTTGAGAACACTCTCT